ACACACACACACACACACACACACACACACACACACACACACACACAATATACTCTTGTATTTTAAAATTGTAATACAGAAACTGATCTTTCCCTAACCTCTAATGAGCAGCCCTTCCCTAAACAACTTTATCTAGCCTTAGCAACCCATCTTGTTACTCTGTTAATTCAGTTACGGAATAGTCTTGGACTAGTTTTCCTATCCTTTAGATATATGTAATTAGCTACTTAATCTTCCTAGTTCCTACCTTACAGCTGCCTTTTAGACTGATCCCTTCTATTGATAGCACTGTGGACCAGGCCATTGTTACATATCATATATGTATATATACTATGCATTAATATATAATGTAAAACATATTATAACATAATGTATAATTATAGCATTGTGTATAAAATATTATGTACATTAATGTATGTTATAGTATTCACTCTGGATGAAAGAATGCATAAATGTTTTAGAGTCAGACAGACTCGATTACTATAAAACACTAGTGCAAACTTGGGTACGTTATTTATCCATATTGAACCTCAATTATTTCTTCTTCTCTTACAACAGCAGAAAAATGGCTAAGAAAATAAGATAGATAAATATGTAATAGATTTTTCAGTCGTAAAGAAGAACAAGATTATATTCTTTGCAAGAGAATGCATGTAATTGGAGATACATTAAGCAAAACAAGGTACTCTCAGAAAAACAAATTCCATATTTGGAAACGAAACTAAGAGAACAAAGGGGATTGACTAACGAGGGCAGAAAGAGGAGACAAATGAGGCACAAAATGCACTCAACACAAAATACATATTTCTATGATGAAATGTCCTTATATGATAGTACCAGGTACAACGAGTGCCTACAAGCAACTTAAAATATCTGATAATAAGCAGCTAAAATAAAGAAAAACATTTGTGATTATTAAGTTTTTGTTGTCAGTGACCGGTAAAATAAATTTTGATGCTACACTTGTTTGGCAAAGAAAGATGCGGATCGAGTCATCGTACAGGATTTATAAGGAGCATGCCTACTCACCCTGCAGAAAGAGGAACTTTAAGTTTCTTAATCTGTTAAGCTGTAGCTGAAGCAAGTTACAAATTCCATTGTATCCCAAATGAAGAACCTCTAAACTTTGCATTATTGGAGGCAAATTTTCATTGTTTCCTAGATCTCTGAAACACACAGGTAAGTTTGACACCATAAACTTGATTTAAAAGCAACTCTATCATAAAAGGCAGTCTGAAGTGTATTCATTATAAAGTGAAAGTAAGATAAAAATGTATATGAGCTTTTGATATATGATAGTTATGTAGCACTTTAAATAACAACAATAACTTTTATCTCTTAAAAATGCTTTATAAGAAAAGAATAAAGTACAGGAAGCCACAGTGAAAACTGAATCAGCAAGCAAGAGAAAAATGTATTTCATTAGAAGGGAACAAATAGTTACCTTTATTCTAAAAAGACACATGCCTGTATGTATTAAACTGTAACTGATCAACTAAAAAAAAACTAATTGAGCTAGTAAATTAATTCATCAAAGTCACAAAATAAAAATTGCCTGAAAATCCAGAGCCAGTAATTAAAAAAATGTAAAAATAAAATTAAGAAAACAATTCTTACGCTTTTTACAACAGTGAAAAGGAAATAATTTCAAAACACTTTAGAATAAATTCCAAAAAAGAAGCACAATATTTATATCCAGATAGCTACACATAACTGAACGAAGCCAACAGAGTTATCAGTAACTGAAAAATTATTTCATGTTTGTGGATTAGAATTCTGAATATTAAGATGGCAATTGCTTCAAACTGATGAGTAGATTCAATACAATCTCTATGAAAAGCTCATTAGGAGAAAATGAACTGTCTTAAAATTTATAAAGAATTCAAAGGACTCTGAACATCCAAAACAATATTTGAAAAGAAAATAAGCTGGGTAACTTACATTTGTATATTCTATATATTGAAAGAGTACATAGCAGTGCAGTGAAATTAATTACTGGTTCTTGAGATGACACGGTATGTGTTTCACAAAGTAAGCTAAGTGAAAAATGACACAAAATGAAACTAGAAGTAGGACTTGGAGGTAGAAGAGGAGGAGCAGCGGGAGGGGAAGCAGGATATGACGACAGGGGACTGAAGATGAACAAAGACTATCATATACAGGCATGAAATCCTGCAACAAACCCCACCACTTTGTACAGTTAGTAGATGCTAATAAAAAATGAAGACAGTCCTTGCTGTGTAATTCCAATCTTACACAATTCTAAAAAGAGGGAAACTATATTGGAAAAGAAAGCTGATCGGTGGCTTTGCCGAGGGCTGGGACGTGGGGTGAGGGGATTGCAAAGAAAAATGACAGCGGTTCGAGGGGGCAGCTATTTCACACTGTGGTCTTTGTGGTAGTCACAGGACCAAGCACATTTGTTAGAAATCGTTAAGTGTTAAAACTGAAGTTGGTAACTTTGATATAGGCAAATTGTCTCTCAACAGAAATAGTAACAGAGGAATGTTTTTCTTTGAGAAAACTGAAAATATTTTGACTTGGTGACACACACACACACACACACACACACCTGTCTATCCATCTGTCTGTCTGTCAATCTGTCTAGCCATCCATCCATCCTTTCATAAATGTGTAGGAGAGTAGGAGCTGTGTCTTCATCTTCACAAATTCTGTCTTTTCCATTACTGGAAGAGGTAGGGGACAATGACAAAGACATACTTCATCTTTTTATTTGTGAGGTTTATTTTTGACATTTAGCTTGTTAAATAAAATAATTCTTAAAATTAGCCAAACATGTACAGGATGTGTCATTTCTTTGGTTGTTTTTAAGTGTGAAAAATGAAAGAATTTTTTAAAGTACCTGTTTAGTTTAGAGATTCCTTGCTGTCCATAGCCACTTGAAGGGACTTTCTGGTACAGCAGCTGCCTGTTGCTTAAGTGAGTTTGAGGTTTTACCCTCGGCATGATTGATTCAATGTGATTGTAGTTGAGGCATAAGACCTACAGAAAGAACATCTTATTAATCAAATGTCCTGTGACTAATACCTGGGGAGAGAACACAATTAGCAATATCATCTTACTGTGAAAAATAAAATAGTTTATCCCAAAGTGTTTAGATTGAGGTTGGAATATGATTTTTAGTGCTCTCACATGTTGGAAAACCACCAAAAATAAAAGATGCAAGATACTAGGAAGCTGCTCAGCTTTCTCAGTTTGCATTCTTGACTTGTTTAGGCCTGATACAGATGAGAAAATTACTTAGAAAGTTGTTTCTGTGTTTACATGCTTTTAATTGCTGATTGAGTTGAAGCAATGAGACTACTTTGAGAACCACCTCATTCTCAATTTTGTTTCATATCTGCTCACTACAGATTCTGCCTCTCATCCCATCTCCCATTGAAGAGTAAGATGTGCATGTAAGTCAAGGACACGAGATAGAAGGACAAAATTAAAAACATCAGAGGGCAAGACAAAGATTCTCTCTTCTCAGTGAAAAACAAATAAAAATACAATTTAGGGAATAATTTTGCCACCTTAATAAGGAAATACATTTTAGTGTAAAGTGAAGATTAAAACTTGTGCTGAAGTCTGTGAGGGCAGCCACGTGCCTTCACGTTGGGCAGGTAGATGAGGCCGCTGAATGAGGTGAGGTTGTTGTTCTGGAGATTCACACTGCTTATGTTCCTGAAGTGGTCAACGGGAATCAGATCCACAGCCCTGAATCAGAAAGCAAATACAGCTATTATTTCAATGGGACAGGGTGAATTCCTCCACACATGACTCCCGAAGCCATTCAGGAGTCTCACCGAACAGCTTCTCTGCAATGTCTATGCTATGTGTATGTTCTTGTTGCTCTGCTATGAAGGAAATGACATTGAAGTCGATTGTAGTGAAAGTTTTGGCTTCTTTAGAAACTCGGGTATGTTATGTAAAAATGTTTTTGTTTTTGTTTTAATCCCAAATATGGGATTTTAGTTTGGGCTTTAGTTTGTCCACAGCTGATAATTGTCTCTTGTGGGGCCTGGTCTTTGCCAGCTGGTAACGGCCTGCCTTGTGCAGCACAGACAGGGGTGTGGTCTAGGACTCTGAGGGAATATAAATAGAGTTCAGAAAGAGAAGGTGTGGCAGTTTGGAGAGACAAGAGATGGATGGTGTGGCGGCTTGGAGGAAACGAACAGAGAGACACATTTCAGCACAGCGGCTTGGAGGAGACAGCTTGCTGCGTTTGCTGTTGACGGAGATTGGTATAGCCCCAAAATAACCCATAGACCCTAAACAGACAGAAGAAGTAAAGGGGTCTGCGCCCCCCCACTAACCTTTCTGTTGTCTAGGGTTAAAAGGTTGGTGGAAGGGAGGTAGAGGCTTAAATACCCCAAATAAAATAGAATTTAGAGGAGAAGAGGGAAGGGGCTACAGCTGGGACACAAAGTGAATAAATTGTAATAAATTAAAAAAATAAATAAATAAAAAGAAAATGAGCGTACCATTTGGTTGCTTAAAAAACACCCATATCTATTGCCATTAAACAAATAGTGTACAAGTCACTTACCCAATAAACATCTCCAATTTATTTCCATATTGACATACAAGTTCATGAACTCACAACAGACTTGAAACAGTAAGTCATAAGATAATCAGGCCCTAAACTTACATGGACACATGTGAAGTAGGTTGTTTCCAAAGTGACAAGAAATGAAAGGGGTAGAAAGGAAGGAGAGAGCAGTGAGGGCTTTGGACCAGGACTTTTTTGAGTTCTGTGGAAAACTTTCACAGCCTTGGGTTCAATGCTGTGAGCAGCAATTGGGGCCTTCGGGGTCATTGGAGAAGCTCTGGGCATTGACATGCCAGACAAGTCAGGAGCCTGGACATAATATTTCCACATTTACATTCTACCTTGCATCTAAGAATCCCATTAGAATTAATAAGGTACAAAAGTTTTTTTTTTTTTTACTAACTTTGATGTTCATGTATTTAAGACGTAAGTACTTTTGCTATTCCTTAGAAAAACCACAAAACTCTAAGTATAAGTAGTAAACCTAATATGACTAGTTGTAAAAGAAATGGGAGAAGGAAAACCAGGTGGGGGAAAAAAAACCCTTTGGTAACTTTTAAATCACAGTTTCTGATTGTACAAATTATGGCATCATTTCAAGGGGTATCTGAGATAGAGTAGGATAATTATTGGGTATGCTTGGAAAAGAGTCAGAAAACGTGGTAGTTATACATGCAGCTATAACGACAAATACACACTCTAAAGTACCTGATAGATGATGAAGTCCAGTTTAGTTCCTGCATTTGGACAAAGTTTGAGTGTCCCTGTCGCTCGGCAATCATGTCAGAGGTGAGCCTACCACCAAACAGGTCTTTTGCACACTCAATTTCTAGTGAGTCCTATGAGGAAATTTAGAAAATGATGAGCTCTATTACAGATGACCACTCTTCTCGTTACAGATGCAAATAAAATAGACACACTTCTCTTTCTCCTTTCCACTACCCACCCACTTGCACATTGGATAGGTAAAACAAACACAAGACAATACCAGGGCTCTAGGGACTTTGGGGCCTGCGGAACCACACTCCTGATTTGAATTTTTGCCTCATATATGCCAGACTGGGTGCTGGGGAGTCAGAAAACAAAAAGCCTACCATAATCCAATTGTCTCTAGTTAGTGGACGGGCAACAAGGAAGGCTAGCAATACAGCAATGGTTAAACTTTCAGATAATAATCAGTTTATGTAAGCATCAGACAGTATCCTCGGGCCCTACCACCAAGAGCAGAATGGGCTGCTCTGTATTGCCAGCCTACAGCAAGACACTTAGCCTTCCCCTGTCAAAGGAGAGACGGCACTGACATTCCCTCCCGGCACAGTGCTACCCTGAAAAATAACAACCCCAAACCAAACTGACTCTCACCACAAAGCGTTGGTTACTGGAGACCGCATAGCGGGGTTGAGGGGACTGGGCAGTGACTTCTTTCTCTCATAATAAGGGGCCTGTGGAGAATTAATGACGCAGTCCTGTCTCTCACAGCCAGGATGAATCAATGGCGGTCCATGGGGACCGGAAGGAGGAGGCTCTTTTAGCCACACAGAATCGGTATCGTTTTGGAAAGTAAGAACCCTGGCGTTGGCATTAAGAACTAAGCACTCTTCAGGCTAGATCTCTGACTCCTGCCTGACGGCGACATCTCCTCGCTGGTGCATGGTCAGAACACAGTCAAAAGAATGACACACAGTGAGCAACGCTTTGCGGAACAGAGGAGGAGGCTCTGGGAGTAAAGGCAGAGGGCCTTTTCCCTCAGGTGCATTTTGCTCCTGGGACATGATTTCTTGCCTCCTGCGACAAATATTTGCATTTGCTTTGTAAGACATGCTTATCCTTGTTGGAGGCCAGAACACAGCTATAGAACCCAATCTGGTAAAAGCTCATGCTGAGGGCTGTCCTTAGCGAACCTGACTCTGGGTATGGCCTTCCGACTTGCTCTTGTGCTTTCCCAGATATAATCTATAGTGGGTGACAGGCAACTGTGTTTAAATTGGACTGTCTTGAGAGAGTGCTGGGAAAGGGCTGCTCTGTTAATACTTAGTATGTATTTACTGACAGTTATTTACGTGTTTTTCTGATCATGGTTTGTTGTTTTTTTTGTTTTTTTTTTTTTCTTGTCATGTTTTTCTGAACTCAAAATGACCTTCCTTGGGTTATTGCTTTCTTTGTTGCCTTCATGTATAAAAGTACACTGAAACAGAAGTAAGGCTGTCTCTAGCGCTGGACTGCAGCCCACCACTTTCTTTCAAGGCCCCAGATCCCAGGTCCACCAGACACAGATCTAAATAGGTTGGGATAATGCTGACACTGCATGGTCAGGGGAGGGTTACTTGGGGTTGAGGGAGGGCTGCTGAGAGAGGTCACCCCTGCTCTGCAACATACCAAAAATTGTCCAGGGAAAAGTAGAAAAGTCTCTCATCAAGAAAAAAAATAAACAAACAAAAACTCAGTGGGAAAAGACAATCAACAGAGCCTCTGAAATGGCATAGATATGAGTAAATTACTAACAACCACGTCTCACAAAAATGCTTCAGCAATTATGAATGTACCTGAGTCAAATGGAAAGATAAATTACCAGCAAGGAAATAAAACAAACACAAGGAAAGAGATAAAAGATATGAAAAAGAATGAAAACAATTTTAATCCTGAAAAATATTATGGCTAGGCAGTTATCCTAAGGGCAGTGATTTATTGGTCTGTGTTAGATGAAACTGGAGTCTTTTGACCAACATTTACTTATCCTCCCTTCTTACATTTCTAATTCACAAAGACTTCATGTTTGAAATGAGAGTATATACTCTTCATGCAGAACGGTTTTTACATTTCTTACATTTTTCAAAAGTATGTGGAAAAGACGTAATAAATAAAATTTTATGTATAAAATAAAATGAAGTTGCAACTAAATAGACAGCTTTTTAGCACTTCATAGACCATGCCTTCCCTGAGCCAAAGATCTATAAATAAAGACCTGTCTAACTGGAAACAAGTCAAGGGACAGCAAATCATGAAACGACAAGTCAGGCAAAGCCTCTGAGTTCCTTGTGAGCATTAGTGCTTTGAGCTGTGTTATTCTGATCTATTTACATCTCAAAAGGCTCTAGGATGGACTGCCTTTACTCCTCTCTGCTCCCACTTCTCACTGCTTTTCTTTCTTTTCTTTTTTCCACTTTAGGTTTCCTAAGCAAAACATTAAAGCCTTACATAGACTTCCCTGCATTCTTTACTCTCTCTCTCTCTCTCTCTCTCTCTCTCTCTCTCTCTCTCGGCAGCCTCATATATGCATTCAGCTTAACTATCAGCTCTCTTCAAACTATTTCTAAACCTAAAGAGCTGTGGATGAAATTTCCGTATACAAATTTAGTCGCATGATTTCAACCGCCTGCTTGATATTTCTAGTCTGTTAACCTAATGTCTCATATGAGAAACTGAGAGCGGCCATCTCGACTCACAATGGTGCCTTTCTTTTACTCGTATTATTTTATGGAGCCTTTTGTTACAGTAGTCTTGGAGAACAGGGGGTCTTTGTTGAGGCTCATTAAGGGAAAGCTATTTCCTCCTGGTCAAAAGCATGGAACCAATTTCTGCAGATATGCCATTGTTTCCTCCCTTAAGAGTTAGGTCACCTGGACCTGTCAATTACCTTTTCAGGGAATCACCCCTCTGGGAAGGTTTACTCATGCAAAGCTGTGCTAAAATGTTGGGAGGAATAACTGTCCCCTTCATGAGTTAATGCGCTTTTTCTTTAGAAAATACATTGTCAGTGTAGTCACTCATGGATCCACTGGAAAAGCGTGACTTTCTCTTTTCCCTTTCTATCACGTTCGTTTGCTAACCTAAGCCAAGACATATTTTCTCTAGCACTTTGGGTCTTCTTAATCCTTCTCTGAAGCTACCTCCATGGCTGAACATGTTCCCTCAACTCAAAAGACATGGTTTTCTCTGCCTCCTGAGTGCCAGCATTAGAGGCATAGGCACCTGGCCAGCTTTTTATTTTTAAAGTCACCTCCTTCTGGTTCATTTTCTCATTAATTGGTCCTGGAATATTTTAATAATTTTTTTGCTCTTATTTTCTCTACTGCCATAAATCCTGCTATTAAGATGAAAATTTTTAATACATGGTTCTGAATACATAATTGGCCTTCTGAAAAACATTCAGCTCAGTCCCATTCCCTTTAATCTGCAATCCAATTCTTTAGCTTAGTCTTCATGTCCCATTATTGATTCACAGATTTGTAACACAGCCCCCTGTACGAAGGACTTAGAGCTGCTTACAGAGGACATGTAAGAAATGAATGAAGGTCAAGACTAAGCACAACACACGCTGAGTGGGGGCGGGGCAGTGATGGCACAAGCCTGCGGGCCCAGCACTCAGGAGGCAGGCAGGGGCAGGTAGATCTTTGGGAGTCAGCCAGGTCTACAGCGGGGGTTCTTAGACAGCTGAGGCTGTTACACAGAGAAATACCATCTCAGAAACCAAAACCAAAACCAAAGCAAACAACAACAAGAAAACCCCAACAAGAACAATATACGTTTGAACAGATAAAAACTAGGATCAGGAAAATTAAACTAGGATTAGGGACAGAGAGAATATAATATCCTATAGAGTTTCTATTATTGAATCATAAAATTGGCCCTATGCTTTTGGGATGCTAAAATGAAATGGGAAATACTTATATAATACTCATTGTCACTGAATAGAACAAGACTTTCCCCCCTGCATTTATCTCTAAAAGTATTTTCTCATGACGCCTTTCAAATGAAAGAGAGCACATAAGCAGGATAAGAACTCCAACACATTTAAAGCAGATGTGATATAGTTATATAAGAGTATGCATCAAAAGCCACCCTTAGCGGAAGCCCGTGCCCGAATGAGCCCAACATCCTGGAGAATTTGCATGTATTGGGATAAGGATGTTTTACTCGGTGAGACCCTGAGAAATGTGGCACTGGGGTTAGTAATCTTTTCAAAGTGCCTCAGAGCATTAAACCATCAAGAGCTGTTTTTCAGCTTTCTGGCGTGCACATTTGTCCTAGCGTTGAGCGCTAGATGACACCACGTGAGGAAAGTGCATCTTTCAGACATTTGTCTGGCACTTAGTCTGCTCCATGGAGCTTGGGGGTCCTGCATAAACTTACTTGATACAGAACCTTACTCGATGAGGGTTTTGTGTTCATCCTCGAGTCCTGTGTTCTCCATTGGCTGTTTTAAAGAAATCTTGCAAGTACTACATTTGTGGACTCACATGTGTTTTTCGTAATTGTCAACAGTTGTATTTTCCCGGGAGCTAAGAAAGATTTCTTAAGCTTAATAGGGTGATGGCCCTCTGGTGTGACCGTTTCTCTTCTCCTCATGGAGCTGTGCCTTGTCTGTCACAGTGCTTATTAGAGACTCGACCTGGGCCTTCACACATTAGGAAGTTACTCATCACTAAGCTACACCTCCAACCTCTGCTCTTCACTTAAAAGGGCTTTTTTTTTTTTTTTTTTTTTTTTTTTGAGTGTGTGTTTGTGCTATGGTATGTGCATGTGGAAGTCAGAGGGCAATCTTGGGCACTGGTCCGTCCTTCCCTTATATCTGGTGTTCACTGCTGAGTACACCCGGCTACCTGGCCCATAGGCTTCTGAGAATTCTTTGATCTCTGCCTCCATCTCTGTGTGGGAGCATTGGGGTTACAGTTCTGGACTACCTTGCCTGGCTTTGCCTGAGATCCAGAGATCCCAGGTCAGTGAGTGTGTCATGCTTGGGCCTCGGGCTCCTCACCTGCCGAGACCACTCGTCACCGTGAAGGCCCTGAGTCCACTGTAAGAAAACATAGATTCCGTCTTCCCTCCCCGTCTCCTGTTAGACTATTAAGAATTGGCCTGGTGAGAGGGCTGTGAACTGCAGATCCCAAGAGTGCTCTGGAGAAGGAGGTTTAATGAGTGTGGAGGGGAGGGGGCAGGGCTCAGATTGATAGCTAGATATAAAGCAATACTCAAAGTGCTTATGTGAGTGTGCAAATATGTGCACTGTGGATCACATTTTAGGAGTCATATAAACAACTTACAATTGAGATGCCATCCAAGGCCTTCAGTTCTGTAAGATGAAATATTACAAACAACCGGTAGTTTTCTTGGTTCCAAATAATAATGTTCCCATACATGTCTAGGATGATCAAGTTGCATAAACCCTGCAGAATGAAAATACATTCAATTTACCTATATATGCAAATCATACTCCTGCATGTTCTTTTTCCAAAGGTTAGACAAACTTGAATTTTAATATATGAATTATTTATAATTTCTTAGTGCTTTTAACTATACTTTAAGTACAAGGGTTTCCCTTCAGAGCAGTAAGATATAACTATACACAATATTCTCTGTTATATGATTATTATCCCTTCTAGGATGCTGGCATTAAATGTATTCTCAGGGGCAAAGGTTTAGAGAAAAGGTTTGTACACTTAGAGGTATATTCCTTAACGATGGAGTAATGGCTTGTTAGGTGGTATGTTTGTGTCTACATGACTTAAAGGGGATGGAAAACGATAATATTTGAAAAGAGACAAACCTGAAGTGCTCTATCTTTCTGAAAAGTTAGGACAACCAGTTTTATGGGAGTATTTGCCTCCACGGTAGAGGCATGGCTGGCCCTGAGCAGGTGTGGGGAGGAGCTGTTCAGATGAGGGATCAAGTTTCTCAATACCACAACTGGTTTATTTTCTGCTGACACTGTTCATACCTAGGTTGTCCGTGACCAAAAAGAGTCAGAGAAACCGACAAAATACAATTGATGATTGTGGAAAACTCATCCTGAGAACAGAACTGTTAAAGAATGCCAGGTTGGGAATCTTTAGAACTGTTGAAGAAAGCATTTCTTTTTTTCATAGAAGGAAGGTGTGTGAGTTAGGGTTACTATTGCTGTTAGGAAACACCATGACCCAAAGCAACTTGGGGAGGAAATGGTTAATTGGCTTATATATTCCAAGTCATCCTCTATTGGGGGAAGCCAAGGCAGGAATTCAAACAGGAGGCAGGAACTGATGCAGAGGCCATGGAGGAGTGCTGCTTAGTGGCTTGCTTATCATGGTTTTCTCAGCCTGCTTTCTTATAGCACCCAGGACCACCAACTTCATGGGTGGCCTTCCCTACAACGGGGTAGGCCCGCCTATGTTGATCATTAATTGAGAAAATGTCCTACAGGCTTGCCTACAGCCTGATCATATGGAGTAAATTTCTCAATTCAAGTCCTCTCTCCTCAGATAACTATAGCTTGTGTCAAGTTGACATAAAGCTAGCCAGCATAGAAGATTTGGGTTCTTACATTTGAGCATGAAAATAGGGTGCCTTACTTCCTCAGAGTCAGAATGAAAGCAATCAACAGAACAAAAAGCCAGCGTGGATTCTCAAGACAAAACAGACATGTAGACAAGTGGAATAGAACAGAAGACCCAGATACACCCATGCAGATGGAGCCTTTTATAGTAAAAATATACACCGGGCAGAACAGCTTCTTTAATATTTATTGCTGGCAAGCCTGGATACCCACAAAACCGATCCTCCTCCTCACCCCATAAAAGCATCAACTCAACGGTAGGAGAGAAGTCACAATTGTTAAGAACACTTGTTTTTACAGAGGACCCAGGCTTAATAGCTAGTACCCACAGGGCAGCTCACAGTCATTTCCGATTTCAGTTCCGGGTGATCCAATGTCCCTTTTCTGGCTTCCACTGCCAGCATCAGGCATGCACATAGCGCACATATAAACATGCAGGCAAAACACTCGCACATACAATTGAACAAGCCTAGAACCCCAAACAAAATGACATCAACCCAAAAAGGGTCAAAAGTCTCAGTGTAATACCTAAAACTTAGAAAATGCCAAAGGTAAAGATCGAGGGAATGTTTAGAAATGTCAGCAAAAGTAGTGGTTAGCTAATAGGATTCTAGAAGCCCAGAAAAACCACAGCAAGGACTGACATCCAGGATGCCATGAGTTAAAGCAGGCTTCTTCTCAGCAAAAGGAACATTTGCCAGCATGAAGAGACAGAACGGGAGAAACTCTGGTTTAACAGCAAAAAATGTACACATCTCAAAAACACTAAAAATCAAAGGGCAACTAATCCAGTCAATAAAAGGGTACATAAGTTGAACACACACAGTGAGAAAGTCCAAATGGACAACACACACAGAGATACACACACACTAGGAAAATGCAAATCAAAACTACACTGAGATTCCATTTTATCCCTGGCTAAAATGTTGTCAGCAAGAAAACAAAGACAAGAAAGAATAAACCCAACAGAGCACTGGCAGCGATGTGAGGGAAAAGAAACACTTATGTTTGATTGATAGGGATGTAAATTATCCGAGCCACTATGGAAATTAGTATAGGGGGTCCTTATGAAATAAAACATAAATATATACCCTGCTTCTGAGAGGACAGCCTCCCCAGTGAGGTCAGCTGATCAGGTAGATGACTGAACACCATGCTCACTGCAGCACTAGTTACTACGTAGCCAAGCTACAGAACCTGCTTCCCTGCCCATCAGTGGATGAAAAGATAAAGAAAGTGTGCTGTGTATATATTATGTGGTATTCAGCCATAATAAAGAACAAATACATGCCACTTACAGGGACAACGTTATGTTCAGGGAAAAAAAAAGATAGTCTCAGAAACACGAGTATTGTGTTCTTTTGCACATATGTGGAGTTAGTGGCGAGAAAGGACACGGGGGTAGGAAGGGAATGCCATGGATGAGAAGAGGAAAAGTAAGAGGTGCAGGAGGGAGGGCTGAATATGACCAAGGTTATATGTGCCATGAAAATACCATAATGAAACAAATTACTTGGCACAGTTAATACGTGTAGGTAAAAAGTTACCCCATAAGTGCGTCAGGTTGCTGTCACACTGGTGTCACTTGTATATTCATGTGAAAGTCATGCAAGTGTGTTTTAATAAATTCTGCTGTCTCACTTTCTTTTCTTTATAGTTTCCAACAAACTCTGTGCAGTGAGCATGGCTTCCATAGCACAAAGAAACAGTAACTGCTTTTAAGAGTGGAAAACGGTTAGCCCGGGCGGTCACCTTCAAGCAGTTGATCTCTTGGTTCACAGCTATGTAGTTATTGCTGACGTACAACTCCACCAGAGTGAACGTCTTTTGTAAGGCGCTCAGCGATGTGATCCTGTTGTTCTCAAGGGAGAGGGAGTGGAGGTGAAGCATGTTATCAAAGGTATGCTTTTCCAGGCCAGTGAGGAGGTTGTTGTTCATGCTGAGGCGGCTTAATTTAGTCAATTTGGAGATGCCTAGAAAACCAGCAAAGTCAAGAACAGGCTCAGACGGCAGGTTGGTTTCAAACAGAACAAGCTAGCCACTGCCCTGACGCTGTAGAGTGGTGCAAAGCCACACCACTGTCGGGGATCACTGACAATAACCACCATTCCAGTCATTTCTTCCTTTGTGTTTCAGAAGGACAGAGTCAAAGGTTAAAGGAAGACGCTCTGTAGGTAGCAATTTCTCCTTCCCGGAATAAAAATAGAACAGCCACCAGCTCTCATATTAAGTCACTAAAGATTAGAAATCAGAGTATAACACTCTGGAAATCATGTTATCGACAACCATTTGGCCCAATTCTCACATTACATGCCTAAAGTGGTTTTTAGAATTCAGAGGCTGGCCACTCCCAGCAGAATGGTCACCCTGTCCTGCAGGCAGTGAGTGGGGGAGCATCCAGGTGGGAGAGAACAGTTGAAAAGGAGGGACTTTTGGTTTTTTTTTCCTTTTTAAAGACAGGGTCTCAATATGTGGCTCGGGCCGGTCTCATATTCACAGCTCACAGTCCTCCCGTCTCCGGCACCTGAGTGTTGGGGTTACTGGCATGTGTCGCCATTCACCTGGCTGAAAGATAAGAATTTTGGAGTCATAGTTGCCTTCAAATACATTCCATGGGGCTACAGGTAAATGATATAATGACTCCTCCATTTCCTCATCTGTAAGAGGAGCAAGTGGAAACCTACTTCCAAATAGTAAATAGAACGGTTTTTAGGAAGGGAGACTATGAGACCATTTGCAGCAGGTCTCAGAAGGTTTCTATCCATTTACTTTCATTAAAGGCGTCAAGTGAGGGTCAGGACAGAAGCTGAGGCAGAGCGCAGAGTATTAATTTAGCATATTTCAGAACACAAAGTCTAAATGTTGGGTTTTACCTGTAGATAAGCTCAGACCAAAGTGATCTGAAGAATCTAGAATACCTGGTGTGTGTGTGGGGGGGGTGGATATTACTTTACTCTCTGGCATAAAATCAATGTTTCGATATTAAACTTTAAGCAGTCAAATATGCTCATCTCGCCATGACCGAGACCTTATTAAAAGAGACTAATTGGTTTGGAAGTGGAGCCATAGAAAAATGTATACAAGATTTTCCATTTTAAAATTTCTGGTAAGTATAATTTTCATTTTTGTTAGTCTTCACATTTCTAAAGCTAACCTTAATTCCACATCTTGCAAAAGGAAGTGGACTGGTTGATTTTTTTTTTTTTTCCAGAGTAAGTTTCATCCGTACACTCCTTCAGTGTTACCCGTGTTAATGACCACCTCGCCTCTACATTTCTGCACACTAGGTCTGGTAAGATGAGGCAATTCCCCGCATTGGAAAGGAAGGAGGAGTGGGGGTTGACAGTCAGCTGCCCGGGCTCGTTGTGCTCAGAAGCTCAACGTCAATCCTGTAGGCGGCAGGTATCCCGAGGCAGACCTTCCCTGGACGTATTCCCCTCGGGAAGCTCCGCCCTCGGTGTTACCGAGTCGCGGTGGCTGTGGCACTTTACCTTCTATCTTTGAGATGCAGTTGCCGTCCAATGTCAGCTCCTCCAGGTTGACGCAGGACTCCAAGCCTTCCATCTTGGAGAGGTTATTGTTGCTGAACGATGCCCATTTCAAATTCTCCAATTTTTCTAGATTTGTGATTTCAAAGAGATGTTGTCCATCTAAATTTAAGGCAGTTATCTATACAATAATTTATGTTACATGTTACTTCTGAATCTTGCAAACAAATTCAAAATTACTAGATTTAAAAAGCTAACAAAGCAACCCAAATGTGATAAGGAAACACTAGAATTCCTTCAGGAGCTAATGATACTGAAAAGTTGTAGCTTACAATAAAGCTACGGCTTGACAGGGCTCTAGGAGGGTGTTTACTGTGTTATGGACACAGGGGTGTGGCAGTTGGGTTCTCACTGAAGCTACGGGGACAGCTGCTGGCCAAGAGCTGTCAGTCCCTCAGGGCACACCCCTTCCCGGTTTGGCTCAATGTTAGTGGCGGGTACCAAAGTCTGGCCATCTCAGCCCTACTTGGAACTCATTTAAAGCATCATTTGGATTCCAGGACTTAGCACTACAGAGTCCGGACAGTCTCAGCCTTCCTCATATAATAAAAATGTCACCAGCGTCTCTCCTTTTCAAGGGCATCTTTCCTGTCAGCACTAGAAAGGACTCTGATATGGTCAGGTGACTTTACGCAGCAAGAAGCTGCTGGCGCTGTAACTGGTACCTGCCTCACGACCCCTGGATAATCCCCTCATTTTCTTGCCAAAATTCCTGATCCCTTGCCATCAACATGTTGGCTTGATCTCTGGCTCTGAGCGTTAAGTATCAAAATCTACCCTCCAGTTTATAGCCAACCTTTATTCTAACTCTCCAAGTCCATAATAACCGTAGCTGAAGATGAGCCTCTGAAACATCTACCTATAACTTAGCTGTATCATTTCATCTTTAAAAAAAAAAAGATACGGTACATTTATTACCTTAAAAGCAATAAATTGCCCTATGTATTTTCTCAACTTTATTGAAGCATAATTTGTCTACTTAAAATGGTAAATATTTAAGGTATGTCATTTAATTTGATAGCCATAAAGTTAACGCTGTGATCTCAATTAGATGTGGAATCTAAATAGCCAAACTCACCGAGTCAGAGATGGTTTCTGGGGATGGAGGTGGGAGGGCAGTGAGACGGGGGTCAAAGGGTATAAAGTTCCCACTTTAAAAAAATTGAGTTCTGAGGGGCTAAATTATGATATTATGTCTCCAGTTAAAAAACACTGTATTGTGTAACTGACATTTGCAAAGAAAGCACATCTCAAGTTTTCCTTTTCCAGTTGATTTCTTAAATTTTCTGTTCCTTATCTATCTGTGCCCTCTTCATGGCTCACACCAATGTTGAATGCATAGATCAATTGAAGATGATACAGGTTTTAATAGAATGAGCTGCTACCTTCAGGTGCCAGTTTCCAGTCAGATGAAAATGTGGTCCTAACTTTGAAATCTGTGTCAGGATTTTGGCAGAAGGCCATACAGTAAGCATCCGAGGTCTTTCTTCTTTAGAACTAGAGTGCTGTAAGAGAGTTAACTAATAAAACAAAAACATAGGATGAATAAAAGGAATAGCATATTGATGTTCATTTATTTATAGCTAAGATGTTTCCCAGGCAGAATGAAAACTCAATAAATGGTTTTAAAACATGTTCTTTCCCTTAAAACAGCCTCCAAATCTAGATAAATTTTGATTTTTACTTTTTCTTGTTTCCCACACAAAGCTTCAAGAATTCTCATACTCTAAACATCCATTTAATGCCCCCATGAGACATTTACAATCTAGAACAGTACAATCTATCCCGCAAGCTCCTATGGTCCCATCTCAAGGCTCTGCCCACCCTCCCTTCAGAAAAGATCCCTGTTACATTTTGTCTACTGTCCACTTCTTCTCTCTAGCCCTGTTTGTGTTCATACACAACACATCATTAAGCCTTACTTTCCTTAAACTTTTTGGGAACCAAACTGTATTCCGTTGACTTGCTCCTTTTTAACATTATGGAATTCATCTATGCTTCAACATTTCACTGTTCATTTGTAACCAGTGGGCGTGAAAATTCCCTCTTTATGGACTCCTTCTAGGGTCCTCGAATTTTCTGTGTAGCTTAGGATGACCTTGAATTTCTGGGACTCCTGCTTTCACCCCCCAAGTGCTGGAGATAGAGATGTTCAGGCCATGGTTTGTTTACGTCGAGCTGAGAATTAAACAGGCTCTTTGCATGCTAGGCAAGCACTTGGGCTAAGGGAGCTACAGACAGCTCCAGCCTTGTATAGGCTTCTCTTAACGATTCTGACAACCATGAACCAAGGCTTTTGTTATTAAGAACACTGCCACCGTGGATGCCCTTGTGCTCTTGTTCATGACTCCTGCACATACACAAGGGTTTCTTCAGAGTATGTGAAGTTACGGAAGTGTGTATGGGGGTGGAGGGGAGGGGAACGAAGGGGGAAGTGAAGAGAGGCGAAGAGTCAAATCACTTTTCCAAAGTAATTGTAACAATTGTAATTACTATATCGTATTTTGGCTGAAACTTAAACTTTTTGCCAACTGCTAAGATTAAGGATAATTAGCATATCATTGTGTTTGAACCTTCATTTTTTTGAATGTTAATATGATAAAGCATCGTTTTCTAAAGTAGTTGGTGGCTCTGATATCCTATCCAGCAAAATGCCTTTTCAAACCCCTTCTTCCTTAGTTTCCCCCTCAGTTGGCTATCTTTTTCTGTACATATTCTGGCTATTGAGAGAGACTATATTTTGACATTTGTGTTGTAAATTTCCTTCCCTGGAGTATTACTTACCTTTCTCTTTCTTTCCTTTATAGTGTCCTTTAAGGAAAGTCTGTGTCAATTTTATTGTACACAAGCCCTATCTTTCATATAGTTTTGCTTGTTGTTTCCTTCCTTATGAGTACTTTCTTAATCCATGGACACAAGGATAAATCACATGGGCATTTTCTTCTAAAACATTCTCGGTTTTTGCCTTTTGCGGTGAAGCCTTTTTAAAGATTTATTTATTTTGTGTGCATTGGTGTTCTATCTGCAAACACGTCTGTGTGAGGGTGCCAGAGACCCTGGAACTGGAGTTACAGACATTTGTGAGCTGTCATGTGGATGCTGGAAACTGAGCCTCTGGAAGAGCAGCCTGCGCTCTTAACCACTGAGCCATCTCTCTAGCCCCTTTCAGTGAAGTTTTTTTTTTTTAATTTTTTATTAATTACACTTTATTCATTTTGTATCCCCCCATAAGCTCCTCCCCCTCCTCCCCTGCTGATCCCACCCTCCCTCACCTTTCTGCATGCATGCCACTCCCCAAGTCCACTGATAGGGGAGGTTCTCCTCTTCTTTCTGATCTTAGTCTGTCAGTTCTCATCAAAAGTGGCTGCATTGTCCTCTACTGTGGCCTGGTAAGGCTGCTCCCCCCTCAGGGGGAAGTGATCAACGAGCAGGCCAATCAGATTATATCAGAGGCAGTCCCTCTTCCCATTACTATGAAACCCACTTGGACACTGAACTGCCATGGGCTACACCTGTGCAGGGGTTCCAGGTCATCTCCACGAATAGTCCTTGGTTGGAGTATGATTTTCTGGGAAGTTCCCTGTGTTCAAATTATCTTGTTCTGTTGCTCTCCTTGTGGAGTTCCCGTCCCCTCCAGCTCTTACTATTTCCCACTTCTTACATAAAATTCCATTCACTCTGCCCATCAGTTGGCCATCAGGCTCAGCATCTGCTTTGACAGTCTATACTGCAGAAGCTTTCAGAGGCCCTCTGTGGCAGGTTTCAAGGTTGTTTCCTGTTTTCTTCTGGCTTTCAGAGGTCCTCTGAAGCAGGTTCCGAGGTTGTTTCCTATTTTCTTTTTCTTCTGATGTCCATCCTCTTTGCCTTTCAGGATGGGGATTGAACATTTTAGTTAGGGTCCTCTCTTTTGCTTAGTTTGTTTAGATGTACAGGTTTTAGTGGGTTTATTCTATATTGTATGTTTATATGAGTGAGTATCTACCATGCGTGTCTTTTTGCTTCTGGGACAACTCACTCAGGATGATCCTTTCCAGGTCCCACCATTTACCTGCAAATTTCATGATTTCCTTATTTTTCATTGCTGAGTAATACTCCATTGTATAGATGTACCACAGTTTCTGCATCCATTCTTCAGTTGAGGGGCATCTGGGTTGTTTCCAGCTTCTGGCTATTACAAATAAAGCTGCTACAAACATGGTTGAGCAAATGTCCTTTTTGTGTACTTGCGCCTCTTTTGGGTATATGCCTAGGAGTGGTATGGCTGGATCTTGAGGAAGTGCTATTCCTAGTTGTCTGAGAAAGCGCCAGATTGGTTTCCAGAGTGGTTGTACCAGTTTACATTCCCACCAGCAGTGGAGAAGGGTTCCCCTTTCTCCACAACCTCTCCAGCATGTGTTGTCCCTTGAGTTTTTCATCTTGGCCATTCTGATGGGTGTAAGGTGAAATCTCAGGGTTGTTTTGATTTGCATTTCCCTAATGGCTAATGAGGTTGAGCATTTCTTTAAGTGCTTCTCTGCCATTCGATATTCCTCTACAGAGAATTCTCTCTTTAGCTCTGTTCCCCATTTTTTAAGTGGATTACTTGGTTTATTGCTTTTCAGCTTGTTTAGTTCTTTATATATATTGGATATGAGTCCTCTGTCAGATAAAGGGTTGGTGATGATTCTTTCTCAATCTGTAGGCAGTCGCTTTGTTTTGATGACGGTGTCCTTTGCTTTACAGAAGCTTTTCAATTTCATGAGGTCCCATTTATTGATTGTTGCTCTTAGAGCCTGTGCTGTTGGTGTTCTGTTCAGGAAGTTTTCTCCTGTACCAATGAGTTCTAGGGTATTCCCCACTTTTTTTTCTAGCTGATTTAATGTGTCTGGTTTTATGTTGAGGTCTTTGATCCACTTGGACTTCAGTTTTGTGCAGGGTGATAAGTATGGGTCTATTTTCATTTTTCTACATGTAGACATCCAGTTGGACCAGCACCATTTGTTGAAGATGCTATCTTTTTTCCATTGTATGGTTTTGGCATCTTTGTCAAAAATCAGGTGTCCATAAGTGTGTGGGTTTATTTCTGGGTCTTCTGTTCGATTCCATTGATCCACCATTCTGTTTCTATGCCAGTACCATGTAGTTTTTATAATTGTTGCTCTATAGTACAGCTCGAGATCAGGGATGGAGATACCTCCAGAAGATCTTTTATTGTAGAGGATTGTTTTAGCAATTCTTGGTTTCTTGTTATTCCATACGAAGTTGAGAATTTTTCTTTCCAGGTCTGTAAAGAATTGTGTTGGCAATTTGATGGGAATTGCATTAAATCTGTAGATTGCTTTTGGTAAGATGGCCATTTTTACTATGTTAATCCTGCCAAGCCATGAGCATGGGAGATCTTTCCATCTTCTCATATCTTCCTCTAATTCTTTCTTCAGAGACTTGAAATTTTTTTCATACAAGTCTTTGACTTGCTTGGTTAGGGTTACACCAAGGTACTTTATGTCATCTGTGGCTATTGTGGATGGTGTTGTTTCTCTAATTTCTTTCTCAGCCCTTTTGTCTTTTGTATACAGGAGTGCTACTGATTTTTTTGAGTTAATTTTGTATCCGGCCACTTTGCTGAAGGTGTTTATCAGCTGTAGGAGTTCCCTGGTAGAGTTTTTGGGGTCACTCATATATACTATCATATCATCTGCAAATAGTGATAATTTGACTTCTTCCTTTCCTATCTGTATCCCCTTGGTCTCCTTCGACTGTCTTATTGCTCTAGCAAGGACTTCCAGCACTATGTTGAAGAGATATGGAGAGAGTGGGCAGCCTTGTCTTGTCCCTGATTTCAGTGGGATTGCTTTAAGTTTCTCTCCATTCAGTTTGATGTTTGTTATAGGCTTGCTGTATATCGCCTTTACTATGTTTAGATATGTGCCTTGTATCCCTGATCTCTCCAGTACTTTAAACATGAATGGATGGTGGATTTTGTCAAATGCTTTTTCAGCATCTAGGGAGATTATCATGTGTTTTTTTTCTTTCAGTTTGTTAATATGGTGGATCACATTGATGGATTTCCGTATATTGAACCATCCCTGCATACCTGGGATGAAGCCTACTTGGTCATAGTGGATAATATCTTTGATGTGTTCTTGGATCCGGTTTGCAAGTATTTTGTTGACAATTTTTGCATCAGTGTTCATAAGGGAGATTGGCCTGAAATTCTCTTTCTTTGTTGAGTCTTTGTGAGGTTTAGGTACCAAGGTGATTGTGGCTTCATAGAATGAGTTTGGTAATGTTTCTTCTGTTTCTATTTTGTGGAATAGTTTGAAGAGAATTGGAGTTAGCTCTTCTTTGAAGGTCTGGTAGAAATCTGCGCTGAAGCCATCTGGTCCTGGGCTTTTTTTGAATAGGAGACTTTTGATGACTGCTTCTATTTCTTTGGGGGATATAGGACAATTTAATTGATTTACCTGGTCCTGATTCAGCTGTGGTGAGTCAAATCGATCAAGAAAATTGTCCATTTCATTTAGATTTTCAAATTTTGTTG